AGTGTCCACTCTGTACCTTGGAAAGTTTTCAGCATGCCAGCACAGACGTCGTCTGGAAGAACAGCCACTGGCAGTTCATTTAGAAACAGTTTCAGAAGGCTGGCCACAGAATCAACATCTCCGTGATTAATGAGGTCTACTTCTTCTCCCCGATTGTACTTCTGCTTCAGTTCCTTGATTTTATTCACTGAGCCACTGATTCGAAATATACCGACACGCTGCAGACCTGCTCAAGAAGGAACATGAAGCAGTAAGCAACAGTCGTATATCATACATACCTGTGCAGTGAGAACTGCGTCTTTAAAAGTTCCTGAAAAAAGCACAATAATAAAAATAGATGATGGAAGTGCTGAGTAATTACAGCTTAAATGTACAGTTCTCAGAGAGCTGAGAAGACAAAACATTAACTTACCAAATACTTCTAGATACTCCACCATCTGTGTGACAGGAAAGGGGACTCCACACTGTGTTGCATTCTTTGTGAGAGCTTCTAGAGGAACACCGAATGTTCTTTCTCTGCTGAACTGTGGATCTGGTGAGACTTTACTTGTTGTATGCCTGACTTGAATAGAAGATAATGATTTCTGGGGAATTAAAATGGGCAAGATAGAAGAAGTAGCTGACTTTTGCCATTTTAATGTTGAAGAGTCTAACACTTTAGTAACAATTATTGTGCTCATTAGAATCATAGATTCTAATCATAGATTATATGAGAGCTGATAGATTATAGATCATAGATTATCCAGAGCTGAATGGGACCTAGAAGGATCGCTGAGTCCAACTCCTGAGGCTCCACAAAGGACCATCCGAAATCAAGCTCCATTCTGAGAGCATCATCCAAAAGCCCCTTGATCTCTGACCAGACTGGGGCTCTGATCACAGCTCTGGGAATCCTTTTCCATGCCCGCCGAACTCTGGTGCAAGACTTCTTCCTTATCTTCCTTATACTCAACCTGCCCCTGCCCTGACACAGCTCCACGCCGTCCCCTCAGGCCCTGTCGCTGCCACAGAGAGCAGAGCTCTGCGCTGCCCCTCGGCTCCCTTTGAGGAGCTGCAGCTGCCATGAGGCCTCCCCTCAGATCCTCTGCTCTGGGCTGAGCAAACCAACGGACTCAGTTGTTCCTCATACATCTTGCCCTACAAGTCCTTAATCTTCGCAGTTCTCCTTTGGAAGCTAGAGAGCTTC